CCACCATGCCCAGCTGATTTTTTGTATTTTTAGTAGAGACGGGGTTTCACCATGTTGACCAGGATGGTCTCGATCTCTTGACCTCGTGATCCACCCGCCTCTGCCTCCCAAAGTGCTGGGATTACAGGCTTGAGCCACCGCGCCCGGCCTAAAATTATTTTTATTACTTTTTTGTTTTACAGCAGGTATTTTATAAATGCATTTTTGGTGTGGCAAAGGCATTTCTAACTCTCGGGCCCAGAAAGGATCACCAATTTCCCTGTCATTCCCCGTTAGACTCTATTCACTACTCAATTTTGGTTATTTTTATTTTTTTTGAGATGAGGTGGGGGGTGGGGGGGTGGGCGTCTCGCTGTCTTGCTCAGGCTGGTCTCGGACACGTGGGTTCAATCAACACTCAATCTTGGCAGGAGCAGGAGAACCAAATTCTAACGAATGAGATCGATTCTCTCTGCGCTCTTTCTTTCACGTTTTGTTTTTGATTGGCCCTCGACGAACCTCAGCGACGCCTCCCGCACCGCCTCTCCCGAGAGTCCGCAGCCCTCGCTTCTTCGTGCGCACGCGCAGTATCCGATTGGTTCTGTCCTAGCGGATTGACGTCCAAAATCGGCCAATGGCGTTGTAACGTATGTGCAGCGGGTTCTCGAAGATGCCCACGACCCGGCCTCTCGCTGAATATTCATGAGGGAGGCGGGTCGACGCCGCTGCACAGCCAGGCCGGCGCCATGAAGTGAGCAGTGGGCTGGTGGGGGTTGCAGCTTTTTAGCGGTCGCGGGGTTCTTGAAGATGGGGGCACCGGTGGGCGCGCCTGGGTTCCCGGGGGGGCGAGTGGAGGCTGAAGGGGTGGGGCGGGGGCAGCCGCGGGGAGCAGCGGTGATAGCGAGGAGACACTGAGGGCACCTCGAGGCTCCTGAGGACCTGGGGGTTACCGGGGCGCCGGGCGGGTCACCTCTCTGGGCACGATGTGGGGGCAGTGTGGAGGCGGGAGAGGGGCTGAGGGGACGGGAACTGACCCAACAGTCCCTGCTGCCAGGCTCAACGTGGACGGGCTGCTGGTCTACTTCCCGTACGACTACATCTACCCCGAGCAGTTCTCCTACATGCGGGAGCTCAAACGCACGCTGGACGCCAAGGTGGGTGGCCAGTGGACCCGCCCCGCCCGCTCGACCGGTAGGGCTGCCACGCCTGGGTCTAAGACAGATTGCAGGACGTCTGAACATCCCGAGGTCCTTGAGAATTCAGGACCCCATAATCTGTTATCTAAAATGGTGAATAGGCTGGGCTCAGTGGCTCGTGCCTGTAATCCCAGCGCTTTGGGAGGCCGAGACGGCAGGATCACTTGAGGTCAGGAGTTGGAGACCAGCCTGGCCAACATGGTGAAACTCTGTCTCTACTAAAAGTAAAAAAAATTAGCTGGGTGTGATGGTGGACACCTGTAATCCCAGCTACTCAGGAGGCTGAGGCAGGAGAATCGCTTGAACCTGGGAGGTAGAGATTGCAGTGAGCCGAGATTGCACCCTTGCACTCCAGCCTGGGCGACAGGGTGAGACTCGGTCTCAAAAATAAAATAATAATGGTTAATAGACTGGGCGCGGTGGTTCATGCCTGCAACCTCAGCACTTCGGTTGGAGGTGGAGGCTGGAGGATCACTTGGGCCAGGTGTTGGAGATAAGCCTGGGCCACACAGCAAGATCCCACCTGTACAGAAAATTAGCTAGGTGTGGTGGCGCTTGCCTGTAGTTCCCACTGCTCCAGATGCTGAGGCAGGAGGATTGCTTGAGGCCAGGAGATGGAGGCTGCAGTGAGCCATGATTGTGCCACTGCACTCCAGCCTGGGCAACAGAGTGAGACTTGTCTCTTAAGAAGGAGAAGCCGGGGGTGGTGGCTCATGCCTGTAGTCCCAGCTCTTTGGGAGGCCGAGGTGGGTGGATCACAAGGTCAGAAAATGGAGACCGTCCTGGCCAACATGGTGAAACCCCATCTCTACTAAAAATGCAAAAATTAGCTGGGCATGGTGGTGGACCCCTGTAGTCCCAGCTACTCAGGAGGCCAAGGCAGGAGAATCGCTTGAACCTGGGAGGCGGAGGTTGCAGTGAGCTAAGATTACACAGCTGCACTCCAGCCTGGTGACAGAGTAAGACTGTCAAAAAAAAAAAGGGAGAAAAGTTCACTGTATATCAGCTATTGTGCTAAATATTTAACCCGTAATTTCTCCCAAATTCTCAAAGTCATGTTATGAGGAAGGTTTTATTATTAGGCCCATTTAATTTTATTTATTTATTTTTGAGACAGAATTTCCTTCTTGTTACCAGGCTGGGGAGCAGTGGCATGGCAGCTCACGGCAACCTCCACCTTTTGGGTTCAGGTGATTCTCCTGGCTCAGTCTCCTGAGTAGCTGGGATTACAGGCATGTGCCACCATGCCCAGCTAATTTTTTGTATTTTTTTGTAGAAATGGGGTTTTGCCATGCTGGCCAGGCTGGTTTTGAACTCCTGACCTCAGGTGACCCACCTGCCTTGGCCTCCCAAAGTGCTGAGCCACTGCTCTTGGCCTTAGGTCCATTTTGGAGATAGGGATACTGAGGTCCAGTGAGGAGAAGGTACTTGACTAAGACCACTCAAGAAGGAGGTGGCAAAAAAAAAAAAAAAAAGGCCGGGCGCGGTGGCTCACGTCTGTAATCCTAGCACTTTGGGAGGCCAAGGTGGGTGGATCACCTGAGGTCAGGAGTTCAAGACCAGCCTGGCCATCATGGTGAAACCCCATCTGTAAAAAAATAAAAGGAGGTGGCAGAAGTGGGGTTCAAACCTGCTGCCTCACTGCCCAGTCTTAACTGCTGCTGTGTTACCCTGCTGTTCCCAGTTGGTGGCACTGGGGGTGGGGGAGAGTCCCCAGAGTTTGTGTGCCCAAGGTACTGAGACCCTGTGTGTTGCCCCTCTGGTCCCCAACATGCAGGGCCATGGAGTGCTGGAGATGCCCTCAGGCACTGGGAAGACGGTGTCCCTGTTGGCCCTGATTATGGCATACCAGCGGGTGAGTGACACACTGAACCCAGAAAAGCAGACAAGGGAGGGGTGGGACAGGGAGGCATAACCTCCAGTGGATAGGCCTGCCAGTAACAGTGAGTCTACTTGTCATGGGCAGGCGTATCCGCTGGAGGTGACCAAACTCATTTACTGCTCAAGAACTGTGCCGGAGATTGAGAAGGTGAGCCCGGACTGCTCCTGGTGCTCCAGCCCCCACTGTCCCCTGGGCCCCATTGGCCCCTGTGGTGGTGGCTGTCACCAGCTGTGGGGGGGCGTTTGGGAAGCGGGGGAAGAGGCTGGGGCTTGGCAGGGCAGGGGTGTGTGCCTCCATTGAACACAAGCTCCCCCTGCTCCCCCAACTTTGGAGTAGGTGATCGAAGAGCTTCGAAAGTTGCTCAACTTCTATGAGAAGCAGGAGGGCGAGAAGCTGCCGTTTTTGGGGTTGGCGCTGAGCTCCCGCAAAAACTTGTGTATTCACCCTGAGGTGAGCAACTGTTCCTTCTCCTTGCCCTTAGCCCAGAGGTAGAGGAAACTCTCTTGTCCAACCACAAGTCCTGGATCCCCAGGCTGGACCTCTTGTAAAGGCATGCAGTGGCTACACACAGAATTCCCGCTCAATGGTCCAATTCTCATTCATCCTGGCCCAGGCAAGCACACCTCCTCCAGGGAGCCTTCCAGTTCTTCCCAGGCTTGGGAGAGGTTAAGCCACCTCTTGCAGTCTCTGGCAGGCCTGGTTTCCAGGCTCTGAAACTTACCAGCAGGGTACTTTTGGAGAGGTGTTTTCTGCCACCTGGGCCTGAGTCTTCCTTTCTGTAAAATGGGGATAGTTATCTGCCTCATAAGGTTGCTGATGATAAAATTGGGTGAAATGATGCAGCCGATGCCCTTAGCCTGTACAAAGAACTAAAGAGTATTAGAAATTGTTGCCAGACGCGGTGGCTCACGCCTGTAATCCCAGCACTTTGGGAGGCTGAGGCAGGAAGATCACAAGGTCAGGAGATCGAGATCAGCCTGGCCAACATGGTGAAACCCCATCTCTACTAAAAATACAGAAATTAGCCAGGTGTGGTGGTGCTCATTTGTAGTCCCAGCTACTTGGGAGGCTGAGTCGGAAGAATCACTTGAACTGGCAGGCAGAGTTTGCAGTGAGTTGAGACTGCACTACTGCACTCCAGCCTGGTGACAGAGCGAGACTGTCTCAAAAAAGAAAAAAAGAATATTAGAAATTGTCATGATAGGCCGAGTGCAGTGGCTCATGCCTATAATCCCAGCACTTTGGGAGGCTGAGGTGGGCAGACCACTTGAGGTCAGGAGTCCGAGACCATCCTGGTCAACACAGCGAAACACCATTCCTTCTAAAAATACAAAACGTGGTGGTGCACATGTCAGTAATCCCGATTGCTTGTACCTGGGAGGGAGAGGTTACAGTGAGCTGAGGTCACACCACCGCACTCCAGCTTTGCCTATAGAGTGAGCCTCTGTCTAAAAAAAAAAAAA